GGGTTCTTAATTTCTGATTTTTTAGAGGTAGACTGCCAGACGTGTTTTCTGAGGGGATTCTGGATGGAATCGAACACCAATCTTCCAGTTAGTAGGTCAAAGAAACTCATTACCATTGAGTCAATTACTACTCATAGCAACCCTACAGGACAGAGAAGAACTGCCTCATAGAGTTTCCAAGGCTGTAATCTTTACAGAATCAGACTGCTGCACCTTTCTCTCATGGAGAGAGATCTGTGGGTTCAAGTCACAGACCTTTCCGTTAGCAGCTGGGTGCTTAACAACTTGGACCATCCAGGGACTCTATCAAGTAAGAAACTTACTTACTAAAATAAGAAATGTTACATTCTACAGTAAGTAAAGAAAACAACCCACATAAAATATCATGTATGTAAAAATTTATGGTTATATGGTCACTTGTATTTGGGATTTTTTTCTGTGATATGCTTTGTTGGTAGAAATAAATGTGTTGGATATGTAGAGTCAGAATTAGAAATGCCAGAATCAGCAAAATCATGACTTGGCTCTGTCAGCATAGTCAGAAACAAGCATGTGCTGAAAAGAAAGAGGCTATATGGTTTCAAGAGAAGGGGATGATGGTGGAGTTTAGAAGTTTGGGCAGAGATTATATGGGGAGATTTGAGCTCTCAGTAAAAGATCTATGAGCTTGAGAACTTCTAGGTCACATCCTTTGCTTTGGTGGATTTCCCACAACCTAGGGACAACCTGGATCACTAAACCAGGAGACAAAGAATTCATGCTTCTATGCCCTCTTCCTTGCCACCCCACGGCAAAGAAAGAAAGATCAGACCCAATATCCTGGAGGTTTTGCTTAGCCTAGGTCAGTAGCAACTCTGGCTCTCAATTATGTGAGTACTCATTTTCACCTTGCTACCAAAGAAAGTCACTTTGCCCAAAATGAGTAGCAGAGAAGATCAATAAGCATAACAGCAGAACATACATCCCTTCCATCCAAGCATCTTACAGTCAATGAGTCCAAATATCTTCCACAGGACCAGTTGAGAAAAATATTAAGGAGAGTTAAGTGCCAAAGGATCCCAGTAAACAGACCCATTTTTCTTGAATGAGATCAGTGGTACTTTGGATTCTGACTTACTAAAACCTTTTCATGGAACAATATGTTCTCTGCAGAAAAAGCTAGAGAATAAGGTAAACTCTAACCACATCAAACAACGTGTTATCATATCAACCTGTATCCAAATGCATCAGATGACTCTAGTGAGTAATGCTGACTTTCAGCCAACCCTTGGACTCACATGAGGTGTAGTTCCTGGGTAATGGTTCTGGTCTTCCAAATAAGTTGACATCATAACTCTTTGCTGTTGTGTTTCCTGCCAGGCAAAGAAGAGGCTGTACCCTCAGTCTTTCCCAGACCACCACGAGATAACAAGACATTAAAACAACCAAACTCAAGCCATGTGCAACTCCAGCCAACTTCAAATATCCTGGAACAATGGGCTAAACAAGGACAGAGTTCCAAAAGATGGAGAGTGTATGTGAGGTCCAACACCTCTGCCTGAAAATGAATCATAAAATCACTAACACTCCATTCCCAGCATTAAACCATCTACCCCAGCCTGGTCAAACTGTGAATAAGGAAAAAGAAATAAAAAACACACTGAAGTTAAAACCTCAAGTACATTTTAAACCCCATTTTAGATCCATTTAAATTAACAGAGGTCAGGCAAATTCTTTATTCAAGCTGAGTTATTCTTACTAGTTTAATACCAAAAGCAGTTAGCCAGATTTTTCCACTTAAAAAAAAAAAAAAAACCCTGACAGAAGAACATTCTAAACATCAGCAAAGAATATGGAAATAGTTTACTATAAACTTTGCCTTATAGAATACCTAATGAAGGAAATTACCCAGTTATTTGGCTATGGGAAACAACTATTTATATATTATTATATACTTTATAGGTCACAAATTAAAAGTGTAATTTTTATTTCCTAGAATAGCATTTTTCCAAAGTGTGTTACAAAGAATCAGTGAGTCAAAAGAAAAGTGAGTCAAATAAATCTGAGAAGCTCTGCTTTCCTAATCCTCTTCCTAGAGATGAAAAAAGCACATTTATATGTTAAAAAGTCCAAAGGTCCTGCAGTAAGCTCTGTGGAATGCAGCATTTCCCTTAGTTTACTTGGCCCTGAAGCCCTGTTTCTATCATAACGCATATCAAAAAGAACACTGGTGGCTTAAGGGCTAAGTGCTTTGCTGCTAACTGAAAGGTCAGCAGGTCAAACCCACCAGTAGCTCCATGGGAGAAAAGATCTGTCAATCTACCCGAGAAAATATTGCAGCCTAGGAAACCCTATGGGTCAGTCCTACTCTGCCCTATAGCACTGCTATGAGTGGGAATCAATTCAATGGCATACAACAACAGCAAATATCAACATCAGATAGAATGGCTAATCTGCAAAATACATTTTTGGAAAGGTTTTTTATAGAAGAAGCAGATAATGAGATGGTTTCAGAGCTCAGACTCTCAAGTCTGCTTGACTCAATTTCCAGCTTCAGCACTGGTCACTGTGTGACATTGCACAAGCAACTTAATGTTACTGCTCCTAAATAAAGCAGCAGCCTTTTTCCTAGTATAATCATCCTCTACTAGCCACAATTTTGGAATAACCAAAACTTCAAAATCTACAGTCACTCTACATGCAAGTGACAACACACCAGTAATCATTACTCCTGTAAACTAGATGGCAGGTTTGTGGATTATGGCAGGGACTGGATCGATTTCTGCATCACTGTATGAGTTATCTATTGCTGTGTAACAAAGTACACTAAAATGTAGCATCTAAAACAACATACATTTATAATTTCACAGTGTCTATGGATCAGATTAACAGGGTCCTCTGCTTCATGGTCTCTCAGAATGCTGTAATCAAGGTGCCTGTTCAGGCCTGCCATCCCATACAAGGGCTTGACTGGGGAAGGATCCACCATCAAGCTCACTAAGTAATTGTTGAAAGTAATCAGTTGATTTCCAGTTGCTTGTGGATAGTTGGACCGTGGGCCTCAGTTCCTTGCTGATTATTGGCTGGAGACTGCCTTCCGTTCCTTTCCACGTGGGCCTCTCCCACATACAGCTTTTTTCATCAAAGCATGCAAGCTGAGAAGGCAATAGAGACTTCTAGCAAAGCAGAAGTCATAATCCCATGTCACCTAATCATGGAAGTGACCTCCCATCACCTTTGCTGTATTCTATTGGTTAGAAGTAAAGTCAATGAGTTCAAACTTCATTCAAGGTGAGGGGATTACACAAGGGCATGAATTCTAGGAATTAGGGATCAATGGGAACCATTGTAGAAGTGTGCCCACAATATTCACCCTCTTGAAATCTGGATGGGAAGATCAAAAAACCCACTATCATTAAGTCAAATCTGACTCACAGCAATTCTACAGGACTGAGTAGAATTGTCCCGTCGGGTTCTCAGGGCTGTAAAACTTTACAGAAGCAGGCTGCCACATTTTTCTCCCATAGAACAGCTGGCAGGCTCAAACCACCAACCTTCTACTTAGTAGTCAAAAACTTTATCCACTGTGCTACCAGGGCTCCTTGGATGGGAAGACCAGGCCCAGTAAAGAATTGCTTTAAGTGTCTCAATAGAAAGCAAGCCATGTGATTGCCTGAGCATGTTGTCACAATCTCATGGAAACAAAATACAAAAAAAATAAGCAAGAAGGGCACTAAAGTTTGAAGACACTTAAAAAAAAAAAAAACACTGCTATCAGTTGAATCAATTCTGACTCATAGTGACCCTACAGGGCAGAGTCAAACTGCCCCATAGGATTTCCAAGGCTGCAAATCTTTTCAGAAGCAAACTATCTTCTCTTTCTCCCATGGAACAGCTGGTAGGTTACAACTACTGACCTTTTGGTTAGCAGCCAAATGCTTTAGCCACCACACCACCAGAACTCCTTGAGACACTAAAGGCTGTTCCACTGTTCTAAGCAAATACAACGACATCACAGAAACTCTTGCATCAGCAAGTCCCAACACAGAAACCATATTTCAAAATCAAAAAGAAAGGCTGCCTATCTGAATAGGCATTCAATGCCAAGAAACCTAGTTTGGTCTAGAAGCAAGTATCTTTTAGAATTTTTATTTATTGCTATGGAATATTTTGAAAACATATCTAATGCCATTTATTGCTTAGCATTTTTTGTGAGATCTGTGTCTTCCCACAGCAGTTTTCCTACATGGTACTTTTGAGATCCATAACCACTCCAGCAAGGGACTTCTGTAAAAAATTTCAAACCTTGGATGTCACCCTGTGTTTTCTAAGCTCTATCCAACTACATATTCTCAGACATCTTGGCGTCCCAATGTCCAGTGGAGGTAGCAGGCCAGGGAGCCCACCTCTGAAGGACTTACCCCAAGTTCAGATGATTTAACCTACAGAGTACAAAAAAAAAAAAATTGCATACTTAGAAAACCTAGGACACTCTGTTCAATACACATTATCTTCAACAAAAACGTTCAAATTTCATCACACATTTTCCTCTTTCCCTTTTGCAAATTTATCCTTCTTTCCAAAAGCATTCATGTGCTCTAACTTTCTGCAAACTCTGCCCTCAACTCAGCTTTAAAGATATTTAGGCCCATTGTTTTCTTCCTTTGGAGTGATGGTAGTTCAAAACAGCTAACACTTAAACTATACCTTACTTAAAAGACCCTGAAAACCATCTCCACCTGTGGGAAAGCAATTGTAAACCACCTCTGAGTTGACATGTGCTGCACACACTTGGATCCTGGATACGTGTTGAATAATAATGAAACATATGTGTGGTAAGAAGAGAAAACAAAATGTAAAGTTCCAGTTTAAATGTGATTAGCAGACAAGGAGGTTATGAAACAGATGACAAAGGAAATTTTCTTAAGGCTGTAGATATCTCTCAACCTGCAAAAATAAGTTGATAACATATTTTAATATTTATTAAAATGATTTTGGAAAAACAGAGTGACTGTGCTTACCTCTCTAAGATGTATGTTTTCCTTCTCCTTCTGGTCTAAAATCACTTCTAAGTGGCTGACCTGAGACTCAGCTTCTGCCATCCGACGCGTCCGTTCATTGTCATCCTCAAGGCTTTTGGACGGCAAACCTTTACTCTGTAACATCTCGAGGAGCTTTTTAATTGACTCATCTCGGGCATTGAGGGTCTGTTTCTGTGTTTCAATCCTCAGCTCCATTTCTTCCAATGTCTTCCTCAAAAGGAATAGCTCCTTGGCCTGTCTGTCATGCTCAGCTTGGAGCCGCCGGAAGTTTTCCTCTGTCAGCTCAATAGTGAAGTGTTCAGCCCCACGGTTGCCACTTTCTTGCTGCAGGAGGTGATTGAGGTCTCTCTGAGTTCGCAGCTCATCCTGAAGGGCCTGGATTGTCAGCTGCAGGTGCTGCAATGAGAAAGACAAAGCAAGAGAGGAGAAAGAAGAGAAACAAAGTCAATCTCAAAGCTGAATGTGGTTTGGGGCTACCACACCATGAAGATGGAATGTTAATCATGAGGTCCAAAGGGCCAGCCATGAAGTCCTCCATGGTGACTTCAGAAGCATGGGACAGCACATGGAGAAGGGAAAATTAATTCAATGATGCTTTCCAAATGTCTTAGGAGAAATGTACATATACACAGAAACAGTAAATTAGTGTCAGTCACAGGGGAAATTGCACATCTACATAGTTTTAATTTAGGAAGTGGAAAGGGTTAGAGGGAAACTTTCTCAAGCACACCTTCTTCACACACCTTTTATAGCACTCCAGACTCAGCATTCCTTGTTTCCTAAGGTGTTCTCAATTCTACTATCCATTATTTTCCTTGATAAATGCATATCCATTTAAAAATGAAAATAATAGCATCCACTACAAGTAGACACAAACAAGGACTTTGCTTTTTATTTTATTTTTTTATAAATAAAGCTAGGAACAGGTTTAGTAAACAGGATTACTGCATCTGCAAGCAAAAGGGAACAAATGCAGACACAATGAACACACACACAGGAGGGGGAGGAAGCTGTGCAGAGCAAAACAAACTGCAAAAAATGGACAAACCTTGGTTCTTCTGGCATCCAGTAACTGAATAGCATTGGCAATAAAAAGAAGAAGAAGGAGAAGAAGAAGCAAAAAATCAACACAAAGAAAAGTCCAGTGCAAGCGAAAGATCATTAACAGAACAAACTTAATCAACATAAAATACCTTCACAGAAAAGAAAAGAAAGAAAAAAGAAAAACAATTTATTACAGCAGAGACCCATAAGCTACACAGAAGCTATAGCATTGATGTCTGATACACATGAACAGAAGAGAACCAAATGTGAGGCTTATTCCATGTTTTGTTTTCCTAAATCTCACTGACCCAGGAACCCAAAGTTATGGATATATTTCCAGGGAGGAAAACACAACAACACTCCAGAAGCACCAGATATTATTCCAGGCCACCATTTTAGCCAAAATCAGAGTGAAAGTACCAGAGAAACAAAATAGTCATCAGTTGGCAGAAGAGAAAAGCTTGCAAGAAAACAGTTGGTGAGTTCAGTAACATTTTCCCCACAGGGCTGTCCCCCAGGCTAGTTGGAGTGGGCAGTCACAAGCCTAAAGGCAGTTTTGTTCTATGGACAAACCAGGTGGCTCCCAATCCAGCAGTTACTAATTCATTCACCAAACATAATAGCTGTGCTTAAATGTGTTTGACCTGTGGACCAGACATAATTCTTAGCACTGAAATAGAGATAGGCATGAGGCAAAGCTCTTGCCTGCAGGGAACTCACAGTATTACAGGGCATTGTGAAATCTTCTGAATTCCTACAGCTGACAGCCAGAGGTGCTGAGATCTTTCTGAAAGTGGCCTGCACCCAAAAATAGCACTAGGTAATCATCTTGATTCTCTGTGTGTATGTACTTCATCTTCTCATCTAGAAATGTCCGTGAAGAAATCTCTCCAGTGTAGTGGAAAAGTACTCTCTCATTCATGTGCCATGGTGCCACAGTACCAAATGCAGAATAAGCAATGGGCAGGCACAGAATGATGAAGACTACGAATTTGTCTTTGTTTGCAATTTATATACTGTATAATTCACCCCTATAAAGCGTAAAATTCAATATTTTTTAGTGTACTCACAAAGTTGTATAACCATCACAACAAATCAATTTTATTCATATCATATCCCAAAAAGAAACCCTCAACTCATTAGTAGTTACTGCCTATTCCCCCAAACCCTAGTCCTGTTGTTGTTGTTATATGCCATTGAGTCAACCCGACTCATAGCGACCTCTCCTTGGGTTTCCAAGGCAGTATCACTAAGGAAGTAGATTGCCCCATCTTCCTTCTGAGGAATGGCTGGTGGGTTTGAATCGTCAGCCTTCTGGTTAACAGTCAAGTGCCTTAGGCACTATGCTACCAGAGCTCCTAGTCCTAGGCAACCATTAATCTACTTTCTGCCTCTATTCTGAGTGTTTCATATAAATGGAATCATACAATATATGATCTTTTGTGTCTGGCTTCTTTCATTTAGCATGATGGTTTCAAGGTCCATCCATGTTGTAGCAACTATCACAACTTCGTTCCTATTTATGGCTGAATAATATTCCATTCTATGGATATACTACATGTTGTTTATTCATTCACCAGTTGATGAATATTTGCATTGTATGCACTTTTTGACTATTATTTTAAAAATGCTTCTAAGAACATTCATGTGCAAGTTTTGTATGGACATGTTTTTATTGTCTTTTGGATATACACCTAGGAGTAGAATTGTTGAGTCATATGGTAACTCTTTGTTTGACCTTTTGAGGAACTGTCAGACTGTCTTCCAAAGCAATGTAAGAACAAACCTCAAGGCATCATTTTACATTCCCACCAGCAATATATGAGGCTTCTGATTCTTCCACATAGGCATCAACCCTTGTTATTAACTCTTTTTTATTATAGCCAATCTAATGGGTATGAAGTGATTTTGATCTGCATACCGTTGATAACTAATAAAGTTAAATATCTTTCCATGTGCTTATTGGCAAGCTGTATATCTTCTCTGGTGCCATCTCATTTAGAAGCAACAAAAATGTCCATCGAGTGATTAATGACAAACAAAATGTGATATAGCCATATGATGGAATATTATTCAGTCATAAAAAGGAATGAAGTAATGATACATGCTATGACATAAATGAACCTTAAAAACATATGCTAAGTGAAAAGTTCAACAAGACAGAAAATAACAAATGCTGGCAAGGATATAGAAAGATTACAATCTCATACACTACTGGCGGGACTGTAAAATGATACAACTACTGTGCAAAATTAGTATGACGATTCCTTAAAAAGTTGGAAATAGAAATACCATTTGATCCAGCAATTCCATTACCAGGTATATATCTCAAAGAACTGAGAGCCAGAATACAAATAGATATGTGCACACCCATGTTCACTGCAGCACTATTCACAACAGCCAAGACATGGAAACAACCTAAGTGCCTATCAACGGAAGAACAGATAACGAAACTATGGTACATTCACACAATGGAATACCATGCAACACTAAAAAATAATGTAGAATCTGCAAAATCTCGCATAACATGGATAAACTCAGAGGACATTAGGCTGAGTGAAATAAGTCAATCACAAAAGGAAAAACATGTTATTAGTTCACTCTTGTAAAAAGCCACCATTAGTCTGTTAATTTGTCATACTGTAGTAGCTTGCATGTTGCTGTGAGGCTGGAGGCTATGCCACCAGTATGTCAAATACCAGCAGGATCACCCATGGTGAACAAGTTTTGAACCTTCCAGATTAAGACAGACTCAGAAGAAGGAAGGGGCCATCCACTTCTCAAATAATTGGTCAGTGAAAACCTTATGAATAGCCTGGTTGAATGGCTGGGCAGCTAGTGGTAGTTATTCCCCATGATGAGACTGGCAATCAACTCCATGGTGGGATCTACCACAAGCAGCAGACAAGTTTCTTTATGGATGTGGTCTATTTCCTATTTATAAGCAGCAGCTTTGGGAATGGTCTCCAGCTTTTTGGCACATTTGAACACTCCATATAGCCAAGTCTTCATTCAGCAGCTTGCCATGCTCTGCCAATGTTGGGACTTTTAATGGACTTCAATCAATGGCCTGCTGTGTGGTTTGGTGATATCAGGACTGTGCCTTTTCACTTGTTGACCTTGTGTTTGTTAGCCTCAGCAGCCAGCAGCTGCCTGAGTGAAGAGATGCCTCTAGCTTCAGTGGAGCAGGAGGCTGAACTGGAACCTAAGGTTTAGGGGCTTTCACCCAGCCCCTAGAGCCTGGCACTTTGAACTCAGACTTAAAGCCTCCAAACTGCAAGAGAATAAACTCCTGTTTGTTAAAGCCATCCTATTTGTGATATTTCTGTTAGAGTGGCACTAGGTAACCAAAACAATTACTGGAAAACTTTATGAATAGCCCTGAAATATTGTGCAATATAGTGCCAGCAGTTGAGCCCTTCAGGTCAGAAGGCACTCAAAATAAGACTGGGGAAGAGCTGCCTCCTCAGAGTAGAGTCAACCTTAATGATGTGGATGAAGTAAAGCTTTGGGGACCTCAATTTGCTGATGTGCCATGACTTAAAATGAGAAGAAACAGCTGCAAACATCCATTAATAATCAGAACATGGAATGTACAAAGTATGAATATAGGAAAATTGGACGTTGTCAAAAATGAAATGGAATGCATATAGATTGATACCCTAGGCATTAGTGAGCTTAAATGGACTGGTTTTGGCCATTTTGAATCAGACAACCATATGACCTACTATGCCGGGCATGAAAAATTCAGGAGGAATGGTGTGGCATTCATTGTCACAAAGAATGTCTCAAGATCTATCGTAAAGTACAAAGCTGTCAGTGACAGGATAATATCCATACGCCTCCAAGGAAGACCCAGTTAATACTACTATTATTCAAATTTACACACCAACCACCAAAGCCAAAGGTGAGGAAATTGAAGATTTTTACCAACTTCTGCAGTTTGAAATTTACCACACATGCAATCAAGATATGTTGATTACTGGGACTGGAATGCAAAAGTTGGAAAGAAAGAGAATCACTGGTAGTTGGAAAATATGGCCTTGGCGATAGAAATGATGCTGAAGATCTCATGATGGACTTTTGCAAGACCAATGACGTATTCATTGCAAATACCTTTTTTCAACAACATAAATAGCAGCTAGTCATGTGGACTTTGCCAGATGGAGTACACAAGAATCAGATCAACAACATCTGTGGAAATAGACTGGGGAAGAGCTGCTTCTCAGAGTAGAGATGGAGAACTTCAATATCTTCAGCCAAAACAAGGTCAGGAGATAACTGTGGAACAGACTAGGAACTGGTCATATGCAAGTTCAAGCTGAACTTGAAGAAAATTAAAACAAGGCCAT